TCAATATTTTCGAAGTGCAGATATACATAAAGTTTATTTTATTTTCTATGAAGAAACCGAAAAAGCGATAAAAAATATAGGTTGCCATTTAAAAAGACACAGTTGGGATCCGCCCAGAAAAAATCGAACACCCTGTGTGACCGCCAATATTTTTATTTTGTCGAGCTCGAGCAATAAGGTAATATTATAGAAAATTAGATTCCTATCTGCTTCCTATATAGAGATATGGAACACCGCGCCACTGTTGCAGGACCCTGTATAATATGAGTTGTACAAGCACTCTCTTGTCCATGTTAGTGATGGAAAAAACTGTTATTTTTGAAAGCTGCTACTGTTATTTACAAATAACATTTATGAACTAACAGATTCAGTCTTATTATGACGTCACAGGATTTCCTTCACCCACTTACCACAATTATCTCTGTCTAGATGGCTCTGTCAATAATAGGACTAGTGAATAAATTGAATAACAGGTGATTTATTTTGGTTTGTGCATTATGTTTCTGAAGTGTAATATATGTCTATTCTCCATTCATTATAATTATTCGGAATATTTTTCCTATGTGTTCATTCACTGTTTGTTTTAAATATGAAGCAATAACAGCAATTCAAATGATCGAAAATTGTAACAGTTACGTGGGTGCCGCAAAACTGCTTTTTGTATACATCTGTAACAATCTCTGGATGTGTTTCTGTAGAATGAAGACTCTGTAGTTTGAACACTTGGCTGATACTGATTCCTGTTAGAAACAACCTAATAGGTTGTCATAAGTGTTAATAAAACAATATGCAAAGGTTTTTCCAGTAGAAATAGTAGTGATAGAATTTTCTTATTTATGAATTTTTATTTAATATTTATTTTTATTATCTTTATTTTATCCTTTATATCCTCATCATTCTGTAATTAATTGATTGATGCTATTTTGATTTTTTCATTAGGAGACTTCATATTGATTGATAATTTCACCATCAATATGATTATTACTAAGAATGGACATCTCCTCAAACCACGAATGTCAATGATAGGCTCCCAAAGAAGTTCTGTTGCAAAGCAAAGCCGTAAGACACCAAACAAGATTTTTCTTCTGCCTTTCTCTGTATCTTTCTTTGCAAGGTACCTAATTGAAATTAGAGTTATGATTCAACATTTTTGGATCAAGAATGCTTTATTTATGGGCTTTGGTATCAACTTGTCAATAGGATGTAAAATTTTTCAGATAGTGAAAAATATTTGATTGATCGATAGTATATAACTAAATTATTAACAATTATCAGTCCTGCCTCAAAGTTTAAACTCATACTTTTTGTCTGTTTCAGGCTAATGATAACAAAAAATTAAATGAAATTGGGATAGTTGACGGAAGCATTCTGAAATGTGATGATTTCTTGCAAAATTACGAACTAACAGTTGCAATAAATCATTACGAGGCAAAGAATAAAGAGGATCCCTCCTTCAAAGTAGTAGCTAATCCAGAAGATCTGAAAGCCAAAGAGCCATTAAACGGTGAGCTATTTCCTTCTTAATTTTTCCAATTTAGATATTGAGTGAAATGAATATTAAAAATAATTAATAAATAATGTATTAATTTTTATAACTATGTTTGCTGAGAACTCAGCAATTACTGTACCTGGAAAAAAAATTGTTAACAGAGAAAATAAATGCAATACCTATAAGATAAAATCGGTGCTTGGTGTCAACGCAATAAACTTATTCTGAGTAAATCGAAATATTTTTCAATGAAATTATTTATCAGGAGAGATTTCAGCAGTGATGCATGCACAACCAATGAACGTTTTTGGACAAAAATCTAATCTGGAGCGGTCACTCAAAAAATTTACAACAAACTTAATTGTGTCACTATTTTTCGGGGTCGAAGGCCGTGAATTTTTGGAATATCTTCCTGGGGCTGGCGCGAGGTTTATACATCCTGGGTAAATATCCGATGACTGAATATTACCCTTTCGTAACGCGTATTGATGCTGTGTCAAGTAGTTTAGAGTGCTAATACCTGTATCTGGATTAGGCAATTCGTCAGTAAGATTTATTGACCTTTTTCTATCTGGCGTCATGCTGTTTGCTATCCTTGAACTTCTTAGAATGGGATTCCATATTCGATTGAGGTTCACCGCTTCTTCTTTTCTGTTGAAATTATCCATGTAGAAATAGATGAACATTTCAACCTAGCAGACCACTATTATAATATTCATGCAGTCATTGTTCACTGTGGTTCTGGCGTTGAATTTCGTCATTATTACGCCTTGGTCAAAGACGAAATCTTGATACATCTTTTTTTTGAATTGTATATATGTAAAATGTTTATTTGAAGATAAGTCTCAACAATATTCTTTCTTTTCTTGATACTCCATCTATTTCTAATTATAATTGATTTATTAGTTGATTAATTATATCTATAATCTAAATTTTCACTTATGAGCTCAAACTAATTGGCGCCCTTTCCTTATCTAGAAATAATTTCAACTTCTAATTTTTTTTAGTTGTTAACTCTAACTCACGACCCATTTGCTCTCAAAAAAATACTGAGAAAGCCCAAATAAAAGGGGAAACATTTTTGGTGCCCAACGTGGGGCCTGAACATATTTTATTGATTATTAATTATTTTCTAATTAAAATAAATGACTGAGTTTCATGCTTACGAATATTTTTGAGACTTAACAGTATCAAAGCATTTCTATCATTTTTATTAAAGATAAAGTGTTTTTATTAGGAGCACAAAAAATATAGAAAAAAACGTTAACAGGTTTTAATGAATTCCTTCTTTGTTTTTCACTCCCTTTGCTTCGTTGAAAAAAAAACTTCTGTTCATTCATCGAATATTTATTTAGATAATTATTTAAGCTCGCAATTGTGAGTGTAAATGTACATATGATAGTGTACAGGCTGGACCCCAAGTTTTTCATAAACATCTATTTTTTCTTTGGTACCTATTTATTTTTTGATCATGAATATAACACACATGAAAACAATTTACCTTCTATCCGAAGAACTTAATTATGAGTTGCGCTTGAGAAATATAGTAACCAAAAAAGATATGACTACAAAAATAAAAATATTGAATACACGTTTGGCTAATAGTAGCATGGATGATAAGGAGATAATTGCTTTGATTGATCCTGAATATGTTTTTGAAACAGAAAAAATTATTATTACTGATACTTTAGATCAGCTCAGAACAATTATTAATGATTTCAGTGGTCCAGAAACAGATTCTGGTTTTCAAAAAATTAAATCGCGACTTATTTATATTAGTTTAGAGTTCAGAGAATCGTAATTCCCCAAAACGAAGACGCGGATTCCATTCAAGATTTCAAAAACGAAAGTTATGCTACCTGTATCGAATTGGAAGCTCTGTTATATGATAGTACAATCGTAAATGAAAACCCTTTACCAAATGTTGCAACCGTTGTAGATATGAATAGTACTTTACAGATTCCTAGAATGTCAGTTGTCAACAACCCTATTCAGAAATCCATTTCCGTTTACGAATGGAATATAACAAAATTCAACGGAGAAAGTAATTCTTTGTTTTCATTTTTAAATAGAGTCGATGAACTAGCTAAGGCTCGAAACGTATCTAAAGACGAAGTAGTAAAAACAAGTATGGAAATGTTTAACGATACAAAAGAATGGTTCACTAGGAATAGGGTAATTTTTAATGAATCTAAAACTAATCTTATACATTTTAGAATTAATCAATTACAGATAGAACGACCTCAAAATTTGAATATTGAAAACATTACTATAAAATATTCAGAAGACACCAAATTTCTAGGACTTCATATTGTTAAATTCTTGAAATGGAACAAACAGATTATACAGCTAACAAATTGAGCAAAATTTCTTATGGACTAAGGGTGGTTCACAAATATCTCAACAAAGAATCGGTAAAAATTTCATATTTTTCCAATATTGAGTCTGTAGCTAGATATGAAATCATATTTTGGGGAAGCGATAGTAATGTAAATAAAATATTTGTATTTCAGAAAAGAGCAATCAGAATGATGAGTAATTTGAAGTATAATCAATCGTGTAAATATGTCTTCAAGAATAATGGGATAGTGATGATATATGCTCTTTATTATATTTATGAATGCTCAATGTTTGTATTAAAACATAGATATCTGTTTTTTAACAATATTAATCAACATTCCTATGGAACAAGAAGAAATGATTTTGTGCTCCCTATACATAGGTTAACAATAACAGAAAAAACTCCTCATTACATATCAATGAAGCTGTACAATAAATTGCCTAATCGAATCAAAGATTTGAGGAGCATAAAGAAATCTAAGAAAGAAATAAAAAAATATTTAATAGATTTAGAACCATATAGTGTTAGTGACTATTCAGACCAAACCGAATTATAAAAATGTATATATTTATGAGAATACGTAGTCTTTTTCTTTTTTTGTTGCCATAATTTTATTCCATGTTGTCTGTGTACAAACTGTAATAGTCGGCATATTTTTGAAATAAAGATTATTATTATTATATTTAATTCCAGCGACCTAATTGTGCCAAGACATATTGTTGCCCATTTTAACCCCCCAACAAGCTTATCGAAGCAGAAAGCAGTATTGTCTGTCCTTACATTATTATATCTGGTTCGGAGACATTTATCTTTTTGGAGAAAACCGATACCTGGGTTTTTGTGGCATTGAATTGAACCTGGTTACTTTCTTCCCAATTCGAATTCACTTATAGATCCTCATTAAGATATGCAACCTCCTGCTACTGATGAAAATGTGCGTTCACTGCCAATGTCCTGGAATCTAATAAGTCGTTGATATACAACAAAAAAAAGGTTGGAGACAATCTGGATTCCTGGGAACACCAGCGTTAATGGTAAAAGTATTCGAGTGATATTCATCGACGGCAAGTTGCAGGAAACGTTCTTTCCGGAAGCTGGAGAGCCATACACAAAAATGATCCAACAAGCCACAGCATCGAAGTTTGGCCAGCAAACCCTTATGCCACACACGGTCAAAGGCCTTAGAAATATCAAGCGCAACAACTCTTGACTCTCCATGTTTCTTGATTGCGTTATTCAAAATATAGGTGACATACGATGGAAGGTTACCTGTTGATCTTTGTTTCCGAAAGCCATATTGATGATCGCTCAAGATGTTTTAGCCTTCCAAATACTCAAGCATATGGTGGTTTACGGCTTTCTTCATGTTTTTTTATATAACTAATAGCAAAGCGACTGGTCCATAGTTATTTGGAAGATTTTCCATGCCCATTTTGGGAATAGGCTGAACGCGATCAACAAGAAGGAAAATTTGTAAGACAGGTTGACAGTAATACGCTCTTGAAGAGAATCAATTACTTAAAGAAAATATCAATCATTATGCAAGTAAAAAACCTCAGGAAACCAACAAAAAACGTCACAATGAAGTTCTTAAACAAAAAGAGGTATCTTGTCTTGACAATGCCTCGAATAGTTGGAATACAGCAGCGTTGCCAAACCACTCCAGAACTGCAGATGAATCGCAGAAAATAATCCGTTTGGAATAACTAAAACAAGCCCAAACATCTGAAATGAATGAGTACATATACAGTGTGGTCCACTAAGTCTGCAACAAATGGGAAACTTTTTTATTATCGGTTTCTCAGAAAATTTTATTATTGACAAAAGTTGGTGCATGTTCCAAAACTATACCAAGTGTACCTGAAATGTCTTTATGACAAACACCATTCAGGATAGGCCAAAAAATATAAAGTTCGTTCAAGAGTAAAATACCCTTATTTCAAAAAAATATAGAAATATGTTGAAGAGAAAAGTTGCTTAGAATTGAATGTTATGTTCAGATACGAAGTCATGTCCTGCTATTCGATTTTTTTTCTTTTGGAAAATTTTCAATTACCCCCGTATGATACATATTTTTACTATTTTGATTTAATATGTATTTGAAGTAGCCACAATCAAATCAGTTTGGAGTATTTTTTATCAAATTGAAGTGTATTTGTAAAATACGAGCTTGACGTACTTCAAGCAGTAGTATAAAATCGTAGAAGGTCCACCCAAGAAATTAGTGATTATACCGGCATAAAAAAACCTCTGTGAAGCGTATTCTCAAGAAACATAAGTACCATGCTTACAAACCTACATTCATTTGTACATTTCAAGAAAGAGACTATGGATTTTTTCCATGTAGATTTAGAGTGAAATAGAAGAACAATGAGATTTTCATCGATGTATTCTGTTTGGAAATGAATCTACTTTTACAACAAATGGGGTTCTATCATCACAAAATTGCAGATGGTGGTCAGATGTCAACCCAAATTTTATTATTGACAACAAATCAATACTATCAGAAAAAAAACTTTTGGTGTGGTATATTAAATGATAAATTACTATGTCCGTTTTTTTTCGCGAGAATTTGAATGGTGACAGGTACTTGAACTTTTTGGAAACTGAAATAGGATAGTTTTTGGATGATATGGTATAAGGAGAACGGCAAAAGTTATGGTTTCAACATGAC